ATTTTAAAATAAATTGGGACTAAATTAAAACAAAAAATTAAAGTGAAACTAAATTAAATTTTTTTAATATTATAAGGGACCAAATTAGGATTTTAACATATTTTTTTAATATTATAACTAGTTTTTAATATTAAAATATTTTTTTTTTACAAAGTATAAGATGGGAGAGAATATGTGAGATGATCATTTGAAACTCTTGGGTAGTTTCAATGTCAAAATAAATGTTAGTGAAATATTTATTTTTAATGTGAAATAAAAGAACTCATCAGTAAATAAAGAATAAAAGAGAGGATGAATCATTGAAGATGTTCTAAGTGATGATTTATGCAAATCATATTCAAGATAAACCATCTCTCTCATATCATTCAAGTTTAATATAAGGGAACTATAAAGCAAACATGTACTTAAAACATGTTTTAATTAGTGTCTAAAGAATCTAAAACCAACATTTACACCATCGGTGAAGTAAATGGAGGAGCAAGAATGTTATGTCATTGAGTATAACCCTAATTTATGTCAAGAATAATTGTATTCCAAACATATTCTTAATGTATGTGTTTTATTGGTAATACATATTTCTAGGCAACTAAATGGATAAATATGTGATAGAAAGTTTTTAAGTAAAAATGAGATTATCTTCTCTAAATTAAAAACTAAACACACTCTTAATCATTAATGACTTTTCACGATGTCATTTGATTTAATATTTTAAAAGGATGAAATTGAATAATATATAGTAATATATTGTGAAGTTAATTATTAGGAATTAGGCAGGAGTTTTATAAATTCAAATACTAAAATTATTTAAATTTATAATCTTAAAAGAAGAGTTTGCTCATGAAAAAATAAATAATAATAAACATGTTATAAATTAATGGTGAAAAATAGATCCTTTTGACAAACAGTGGCAGTTCAATAATCCCCCTACAGAATTAAGTGGTTGAGTTTTGCCGAACAGTCTAATGATGGTTGGATAGTCTCATACCACATGCTTCATGTCCCATTTCTTTTCATCCTAATTCTGTTTGGAGAGAAAAGGGAAAATTCCTCAAAATAAGGACCTTTTTTTTCCCAGACTACTTGTCAATGACAAAATCATAAATGGAGGAATATAATTTCCTACCACACAATGTAAAAGGGGCTTTAAAGACTGTCTTAATCGAGTTTAGTGGACCTTCACTTGAAACAACAGGGTAACTAATGGTAACAACATAGCATGATGATATTTGATTTTTTTTTTTATAACATATTATTGATACAAAATATTACTAATTTTGTCAGAAACTAAATTTTCATTAAAAAAAATCTAATTAATTATTTTTTATGAGATATTTTTTTATCATTTTCTTTTATCTACAAAACTCAAACACAAAACTTTACTTGTTAAGAGGGTCGTCGAGTTGAATATCTCTTAAAGTAACATGTTGGTATGATGATATTTGATTTGCTCCAATGTATGGACAATAAGATACTGTTTTTGAAAATAACGTGAATATGGATTTTCATGCGCCTCATACACATTAAAGTCACAGATACGGACACTAGTTAATAATTGAACCCTCTTATGCGCTTCTCAGTTTTCACAAGTCCATGGAGTATAATTGCGTCCTTCCAACACTGCCTAATTGCTTTTCCAGCCTCACTTTTTCTGCAAAGATACATGAACCATAACAAGGGAATGTCCCTTCCAATAGTAACAAACCTTGTAGTGAGGCAAATGCCAAGAGAATAAGATAAGGTCACAGGGAAACTGTCGTGTTGACAAATAATACACGAGACTGAGAATGAGTGAACATAATCTTCACTTATATCCTCATGTTTTAAGATGATATATCATAACATATTTTAAAAATTATCGTCGAATTTATTGTGTTATTTATTATTAGGATAATACTATCATAAATAAATGTTTATGTCTACGAATTTCATATTCGAAATATCTAATTTTTAATAAAAAAGAGTATGATAGAGATATCAAATTAACGGTAAGTAATATGTTTAAACTAAGTGAAAACAATCTTTATTTTATAATTGATTTTTTAAAATGGAATTAGACTTATCACAAATTATTATGAATAATTGATTCTTCATTATTTTTATTATTACTATAATTTATGTAGCCATCATTAGCTAATTGAAATTCTTATATTTTGTTTCTTATAGACAGATTCAAAGTATCAGGATATTATAACGTCGAAAATTTTATGGTTTTTTCTTACAAGACATTATTTCAGAATAAAAAAATGAGAAACCATAAGGAGAATTCTATGAAAATATAGTTTCTCTCCCATGAAATAACATTTTTCTCTCTGAAACAATTTTTTTGTTTCTCTCTGAAACAATTTTTTTGTTTCTCTCTTCTAATACATCTATCTTTTATTGATTGATTAAAAAGTTAATTTTGATAACATTCAAGAAATGTCATTCGACTGAATTGCATTGCTGAAACTAAAAATGCACTTAATCTACTTGTGATTATGAGAGCTGCCTGAACTGTGATCCACTTTAATCTTGAAGTTTTGCTTTTTCCTAAACTAAAGTAAGTTTAACCTTTTTTCAGAATCAAGGGTTATATCCATCATCATTGGGATAAATCTTGATATTTTTTTCAAGATTACTGAAAATCATGCCTTCTATAATTGCTTTGCTATTATAGAATGACTGAAGCCTTTTTATTTGGATATCATTTTACATTCATCTTTTATTTTGGACACACTTCAAGCTTCTGCAACTGAAGAATTAATACTTCAAGTTAAGGGAAAATTCAATGAATCTTTGACAACCAAAACTACAAGGCTAATTCTTCATAACCAATCTTCCACATATAATTACACAAAATGCAACAGAATCTAACAAGGCCTAATATTCTTCCGAAGCTCCTCACAACAATTTATTATGCAATTAACAAATATATTCCTATCCTAATTAAAACATGAAAAACCAAAGTTTCTATTCTGACAAATATGGTTAAAAATAAACCAGAAAAGAAGTTGAATCTGAAGAAGATGTTGTGGAAGCAAAACGAAGGTTCCTCCTTAGACCACCAAAACTTATGCCATGGCGTGGAAGAAACCGCTCTGTGACCCTTGTCAGCACTGCAGTGTATTCTCCTAATATCTCTGTCATAACCACCACCATTATCATCTTTCTTGCTTCTTCTTCTTCTTTTGCTTGAAATCTCACAACTTCTTAGAGAGGAAGGTCCTATAAATAAGGCTCCTTTTGCACCGGAGTTTGGTTGTTACAACTTTGGCTTGTGCCTAGAGGTTTTTTGAATTGTGGAGTTGGAAAGTGACGCCACATACACACTTATATATAAAGCATAAAGGTTATTAGGCAAAAAGGATTACAATTCTGGCACTTTCTGGTGTGTGTAACGTGTATGCACATACACACAGTGAATTTGTTTCATGATAATTAGCATATTTTTACGTGGTAATTAACTACCTCAATGATTAAATAAGAAGATAGATACAATAATTTGACCATATTGAAAAGACACGGTTATCACATTCACATATTTATTTGGGTGGATTCAGTATACGCGTAGATGGTAATCATCATGGGAAAGGAATCCAGAATTTATTTTAATCACGTTTCTGTGTGACGTTTTGGGGTGTCTCATCATACCTTTTTAAGAGCTGGATCTGGTCTGATTATATTGGGAAAATATTGGAGAACATTGAGTAGCTTGTAAGTTTTGAACACCAAGTTAGGTAGATCATAGATGCATGCATTGAATTATCAGGCGGGGAATTTTGCTAACTTTTTTTCGAAATTCAAAACGACATGATAATCACAATTGAAGTTTCATCTCAGAAAATTATATCATCTGCAGTGCATATATTTTTATTATAAGAATTATAAGGTAAATTTTAAATTCTGGTTAAAGAAAAATACCAATATCACTTGAATATAAGTTTAGTTCCCTAAACATGAGTTTGGCAAATCCTGGATATAATTAACGGACCTAAAATGTTGCTGCAGCAGATAAGGAATGAAATGTGATAATGATGATCATATATAGTTGAATTAATGGCCAAAAGTAAATGATGGCATATATATATAGTTGTCTAACAAATAATGTTGCCAAAGGGGTGCATAATATTATAGGAGAGATTGATGGGTATCTAATAGGCCCACTACAACATAGGACAATGGTATTTGCTAAAGCAGTGGAACATAATGTACCTTCAAGCGAACCTAATTTGCCTCAAACAGAAAGAATCCAAATGTAGCATAATGAGTGAGTATTGTTCTTTTAGCTTAGACTAGCTAGCTGTAATTTGTATATGCTCAAATATGACGTTGTGACATCAGATTCAATAAAGAAAGCAAAATCTTAGTACATGTAACAGAAAATAGTGCAAGGACATAATAGAGAACACAAATACTAGGACAATAATATGTATTTATGATGTACCGATACGATACGCGTATCGGATAAGACACGTATTCGATACGGGGATACGATTATTTTAAAATATATAGGATACGATACTTGTAAGATACGTGTCATCATATATATCAATTTTTATATAATATAATAATTATGTACTTGTAATTTTGATCAAAATTCATAAACATTAAATATATAATTGCTATTTTGCAAATCTAAATTAAAAACATACTTATTGTACATTACTAAAAATAAAAAAATTATAAATCATTTTATCATAAATTACTTTTTATTATTTACAAATAGAAATAATATTACCAATTTTATTTCTTTCTTAAAATTATCTATATAGAAGACAATTTTCATTTACAGTTTATCAATGACCAATATTTCTATGTTTCTATATTAAACATGTTTATATAACTTATTTAGTTGTAATTGATATTTTATAATTTTTCAAAAATTTGAATACTTTATCGATACGTATCACCAATAAGTATCGGTAAAGTATCTGAGAGTATCGGAATTAAATAAAATTTTCATAATTACGTATCGGATACGAATACGTGAAGGAAATTGAAGTATTGGTGCTTCATAGATCTGTACAATACAAGTGAGACTTATATGGAGCATTTTCATAATTTCATTCCAAAATTTACACTCATTTTTTATTCCTCTCTTGATCTGATGACTTGTTCTTACTAGAAAGAAAATGATCTAGCGAAGACTTTCTTCCATGCTTTCATACTTAGCGACCGAACCTTAGTTAAAGCTAAAGAAGGCTTAAAATCTCTATGAGGAAAGGGTGGTGGTGAACATGAGGGTGATTGTGATTGTGAGTGTGATGTCTCTAATACAACATTGTCTTCTTGGTTCCAAAATCGAGCCTGTTTTCTCTTGCTTCTCACGGTTTCTAGCACATCATATTTGTTGCAAATCCCCCATACAGTTACCTTTTGTTGATAGTAATCCACATTTACAGAGTATATTCCTGTCATGGATCAATTAATTAATAGTCAGTAATATGAATAATTCTAAATTCCAGTGTACTAACATGTTACTATAGTCTTCAATTTTATTAAATTGACAAAATGTTCAGACAATTTATTTAATGGAGAATTTTGTGTTTGATTCATGTTATGTGCAAAAATACTTTAAGTCAACAGTTTAAGATACTCACACAAAAAAAAAGTCTTCAATTTTATTAAGTAAATAAAGTACTCAATAATTTTTATACTTTGAAAAATTAAACATATACCTGGTCATTTATTATTTTCTTTATAGAGTACAAGAAATTAAGAGTAATAATAGAAAAATATTATTAAAGAATATAGCATTACTCCCAACATATATAAAGGGTTCGTTGTCCAGTTCTATAAAAGGGATAGTGAACAAGCACCATTTCTTTTTGACTCTAGAAATTGACGAGTTACAGAACAAATTGAAAGAAGCTAAGATATAAATGTAATTCACATAATAAGTTTCTAGAGTTTACACAGTCATTCTAGTTCAGATAAATGAGTTTAACATGAAAAAACTAAGCATGAAAAATAAATATTCTCAAATTCATATTCCTCAACATCTAAAATCTTCCCTTAGTCAAAGTACTTTTCTAGCAATAGCAACTTTCTTGTCACTTGGTCATAGCCCACAGCCCATTAGTTTCAAATGCGTGCTAATTGGACCCAAAACAAAACCCACCCCAAATTTGACCACACGCAACACACTTAGTAGCAATGTCAAACATGACTCACAAAACAACAAAATTTTCAACATAGGAGAGGAACATTGAGAAAAAATTGCTAGAAGTTCATACTTGAGATAGATAAGAACTTTCCTGACAATCATGACTGTGTACATTTGAAATTAGAATAAACCTTGGTACAATATTATAAATATTATTTCTACTTTTCTCAAAATAGTATTAGAGTTTCATCTCACTAATATACTTAAATGTATATTAATAAAAATAGTATTATATTTAAGTTTTGTCTTTAAAATTCACCATATAATCTTGAAAACTAAAATAGCACAAAAAGGGTTATTAATTTACCTTTAAGATTGGATAAGGTTTTCTTGATTTTCTTCTCGCATCCATAAGAATACAATGGAACCATCATTTCAACATACTGTGGCTCCACAATATTCTTGTAAGCTGGGACAATTTGCATGTTGGCCATTCCTCAACACTTGCTTCAACTCACACCATCCAAATCCAATTAGCAATCAATGTTTTTTGCTGGTTGTTATGCTATAGATGTGTGCCCAAGCCTTATATAAAGTCTTTGCTCAGGATATGGATCATGCCCCGTTAACATCATAATCCATTAGATTTTATTCAAAAAGAAGCTTTTATTTGATCAGTTGTCACTTTTTCCTTTCTTCTCTTTACATTTTTATTTTCTTTATGAGATAATTAATAAGGGTTAGAAAGACAATAATGGATTTGATTAAGGAAATTGAAACCATGATTTGAATGGGGTATGGGTGGTGTGACACGGATGAGTGCAAAGGTGTGTCAGCAACCCTACCAAAGTAGATGCATTGCATTCTACTTTTTCATTGGAAATTGAAAAATCTTGGATTTTGCCTCGCACGTGGGTTGTTTTCCTTACCAAAGAAGACAGTAATTCAATTGGAATAATTCTAAATTATTTTATTTCAGAATATTATTATTTTAAATATTTTTATGTTACTTTTTTAATGATGGGCTGTAAGCTATGACCAAGTAACAATCTGTTGTCTTCACCAAATTTAAATGAATGACAATCTGTGGGCTATAACCAAGGTATTGAAAGGAAATAGTCTATGCATTGTTCTACATTAATATCTAATTATAAGCTATTATGTACGATAATTTTATTAATTTTTTGACTGATTATAATAAAGTCATATCTATTATAATTTTTGTGTATTTTTTTTTTACATTGATATTGTGGAAATTAAACTCTAAAATTATTGACTTCAAAGTTATATCTAGAATGATTTTTAATAGATGACTAAGCGTAAAACTCTTAAATTAACATTTAATCAAAATTGAGTTTTCTTTTTAATTATTAAATGAAAATATTAAATAAATTTATATTGTAAACTATTAAACTAATATACTCTTCATTAATTGTTAAAAATAAAATAGAGTAAAAAAAATTAAGACGTCATAACATTACTCAAGAGTTTTGAGTGCCAAACAGAGACTCGTAACCTTGGTTTTGAAGATGTGATCATTGTACCTTCCCAAAATTCTTATTATCCAGAAAGGACACTTTACGCACTAATTATCGATGTTAATTAATTCCATGCACATGCAATTGTCGTTTCATTTGATGAAACACACTAACATAAACCAAAGGAACACCTTTGTTGCAAACATAATAGAGCATTTGCATATGCATGTCTTCATTTTAAATCATATTAGTGTTTGCGTTGCTACTTTATATTATTAATTATATGGAGTTACATAAAATTCATGGACTACTTTAATTTATTATTATAATAACCATCACATGTTTGGACGTACTAAAATGTTTTTTTTTAAGTTACATTAGTCTAAATAGACAAATTATTGTACAAACCTTTTTTATGTCAATCTTGAATATTTGATTCTGTGACTATGAATGATATATATAATGGAAAGTCACAAAGTCCTAAATTCAAAATTTCAAACATGGCAGCAAATTGTCTTCAGTTTGGTTGGAGGATATGTATGAGATCTCATCAACATTAGATTAGGCGAAGTGAGAATGAGTGTTATCCCTGTCATGGATCTTTTCTTTTTCTTTCTTTCTATTAACTTTTTGGGATAAGTCAATTAATTTAGGAATAGAACTTTTATGACATCCTTACGAATTAAAGACCTTAACTTTATTAATTAAATATTAAAAAGACAAATAAAGTTTTATAATATTTGCATAATAAGTGACATACATCAATTTTTTTTCTTTCTAAATAATTAATATTTTTTTTTATCCATAATAATATTTAATGACATTTAGTATCAAAGTTCAAATACAAAATCTTGTGTATATTCTTTCAGTATCATCAAGTTGATCCTAGTAATTCAATCATCAATGTTTTATGAAAATTAATGTCTTTAGTTGGTTTAAAATAAGATTACTTTTTACTCTTAATAATACGTAATAGAATATTTTTTTTAAAAAAAATTAAACCTTTTTATTAATTATAAGTTTTCTTATAACTAGTATTTTAATATGTGTATTTTATAGGTTAAATATTTATTAGGCTTAAATATGTTTTTAGTCATTTAAAATTAAGGTAAACTTATTTTTTGTTTCTCAAATTTAAAAATATTATTTTTAGTTTCTGTAATTTTTAAAAGTTTTGTTTTAATCTTTCAGATTACCAATAATATATCTAAAACTGACAGAATTAGACATATATGTAATATTAATTAAGTTTAAAGTGATATTTTTACTAATAAGAACATTAATAAATAAATTTTATGAGATAATATTTGATATATTTCTTAACAAAATTTGAGTATAAGGATTAAAACAAGATTTTTTTTAATTACAGCAATAAAAAAAACCAAATTTTAAATTTAATGGATTAAAAATAATTTTACCTTAATTTTAAAGGACTAAAGATATATAATAAAAATTTATAATAAATTATATAGATAAATAGATATTATATTTAAATATTTAAATTTTGTATGAAAAGATATTTTGAAATATATAAATAATATTTTAAATTTATAATAAATAATTGTATTATAACAAAAAATTATTTTAAAATATTAGTATTTAATTCATAAATAATTATGATAAATAATATATAAGGCGTGATTTTATTTCTCTCATTTTGAATTGCAATTTACATTAAAATAGGATAAATACTTAAAGAAAATTTTCACCATTTCTATTCATAAATTTTAAAGTTACCTAGAGAAATATGTATTTTCAAATCGAGAAGGGTTTTGTAAAATTTTGACTTAATTTACTTTAAAAAACTCATCTATTTTAAAAACCTACAAAAATAATAATGTAACATAATATAATATAAAGTAAGATCAAATTACTTTAAAAGCAATTTTTAATAATGTTACTTTATCCAATAATTTATGATATATATGAAATTTCAAAGATCATTCGTTAAATCAAAAGTTTTTATTTAACATATTAAGTCCAATTTCTTTTGTATGATTTAAAATTTATTTGATACAATGTTAAATAAATTTAAATTAATTTTTATTTATAAAAACATATTTAATTTGAATATGTGTAAAAATATAGCATTCAATTAACTTTGCAAAAAAAATTATAAATACTATCTACTCAATAAGAACTTTTAATTAAGTTGGTAAGAGAGTATACATATATAAAAATGTTTTTAATTATTGTGTTTTGTAGGCCTTAATTTTAGCTGGCACAGATACGACAACAGGAACATTGACTTGGGTTCTTTCATTACTTCTCAATAATCGTGAAATCTTAAATAGAGCCATCCATGAATTAGATACAAAAATTGGGAGGAGAAAGATGGTAGACATATCTGACTTGAGAGAACTAGATTATATTCAATCTATCATCAAGGAAACATTGCGCTTGTATCCACCTGCACCACTTAATGTTCCTCATGAATCCATAGAGGACTGCATTGTGGGAGGATATCATGTGCCAATTGGCACACGTCTCTTGACTAACATTTCAAAACTTCAACGAGATCCATTGTTTTATCCCAATCCATTAGAGTTTTGTCCAGAGAGATTTCTAACAACCCACAAGGATATAGACATCAAGGGTCAACATTTTGAATTGATTCCATTTGGCTCAGGCAGAAGAATGTGTCCTGGAATCTCCTTTAGTCTTCAAGTTATGCAACTAATGCTTGCTACTCTATTACATGGGTTTGACATTGTAATTTCTGATGGAAAACCTATTGATATGCGAGAACAAATTGGGCTAACAAACACCAAGGCATCTCCGCTCCAAGTCATTCTTACACCACGTCTTCCTACTTATATGTATGATGAAATTTAAATGGTCGAAAATAATAGAAAGTATATTGGGGATAACCTACATGGATAACAACATTATGACTAGTCCACTTAAGGGTATCTCTTCCAAAAAAAAATTTCTTCATTTAGTTTGTTAGTTATTAATGTTTGTGTATAAAAAGGCTCGATCTTACTCGTTAAATAAATTCTTTTCACATAGAGGACTTAGAATTGTCATTGGGATGACTTGTGTCTCTTATGAGTATAAAAATTTATTGTATTGCTTTTGTTTGATTATTAATCATTTCATCGGGTTGCTCGGAAAGAATGGGGAAAAAGTTTATGAATTATAGGGACTTAAATCAACAAAGAAATTTTTTTAGGTATATCATGTTGTTTATTGACTTTGTCCAAGGGCTTTACACAAATAGATGACTTGGATTAGTCCAATTGTGAAAATAATTATCTCCCAAGTGTTATTATCTTTGGCTACATCTTTTAGGTGACATCACCAAAATGCTAACAATACATTCACATGGTGATTTGTTCGAGGAGGCATACATGCAAATCCCTCCTAGCTTGAAATCTCGGTATCGTAATTTAGTTTGTAAGCTTAAAAAATCCATGTATGGCTTGAGGCAAGTTGTTATTGGGGCTTTAAAATTGTTTGCTTTGCATCTAGGATTGCATTTTACTATAGCACAATTACACATGCTTGTTGACTAGAAAGCCATGTATCACTCGGATTAGACATCGAAGCTGCTGCATAAACAATTTGAGACTTCGCTGCCCGAGGCTTATAGACCCGATATATGTTATGCAATTGTCATCGCATCATTTTTTTATAATATGGAAAAATGGTTTTTTAAGAATATTTTGATATTAAAAAATGTTATTTATGTGTTATTTTGACTAAATGTTAGAAAATTATATTTCAATTAATCTCACAATAATAAAGCTATGATGAAAATTTGATCATTTGAAAAATCAAGATCATATAGATATGATTAATGGTAGAGATTGAATACAAAAACAATTAACAATCAAGATTTGCTAGTATTTGCTAGTAGTTATAGTTACAACTTGTTTTTTATAAACAGTAGTTTGCACAATATAATAATGGTTGAAACTTACACACTTCCTACATATCTTAAGTTTCAGTCACACTTACGGATCATTTGGATTATTACAACGTATCAACCACTATTTACTTTCCAGTAATTTAGATTTGTTTCCATCTCTTTCTCTTTACTAGTTTTTCTCTAAGTTTAACTTTTTCATTTCTTAATCTCCATTTTTTCTCCAAATTTAATCTTTTTTACTTTTTATTTTCAATTTCTTCTCTAAACTCTTACTATTTCACATTTTTGCAAAACTTTTTTCTTTCTACTTTATTTCAAGTTGAAAACTAATAGATTACTAGTTCAAATAAAAAGAATACACATGATTTTCGAAGATTTCGAATCCTACTTAAAATTTTATCTGTATTCAAATTTCACCGAAAACAACAATAAATCAACAAATTGAGTAAATACCATGAGCATACCATTGATATTAACTATGAAGTAGATCTGCACACCCTTAAGTTTGCCAATGGGTCTCTAGCTAGACGTTGGCATTTTCTTCCCGAGGAATTCATCAACCGTTCTAAGAGGCTTCATTGATTCTCATTATATGGTTTGCCCTTATACTTGTTGCTTAATGTTAAAGACTAGTTTTTTCTTTTACATTGATGATTCTCCTTTCACTAGTACAAAATCTGTTATTTACATCACTGTTTTGTTGTTGGAAAATGAAAAATCGGACGTAAAAAAAACACGGTGGTATTTTTGAAGTTTAAACCAAGTTTTATACGTCAGACACCACTAGGTCCGACAAAATTTAAAATCTACGTCGGCCCTCTATATAGTCCGACGTAGATTTAAAAATTTACGTCGGATCTCGTAGTGTTCGACGTAAAAAAACTTGTTATATCCTCTTCCCCTCATTCATTTCTTCGCGCGCGCTTTAGGGTTTTATTTACAGAACGTTCAGGCGACCTTCGACGACGAGTTTCTACGCATCCTGGGAGTTTTCGGTGACGTTGAACGGCGGCGACGGTGGTGGCGACGTCCATTCATCATTGCATATCATTTTATCTTATTGTATTGAAGTTTTGGTGCGCGTCTTGCTTAAGTTAGCGTTTAAGGGTACTCGAAGGTGTTGGGGTTCAAGGTTAGTGCAAATAGATTGGATTGGAGGATATTTTTGAACTTAAACATTGTTTGTGTGTGTTGTTTTGGAGGATTTATGATTATTCCATAGGTATATTTTTTAAATGAAAACATACGTATGCATCATGTGTTAATTTTGCATCTAGAATGGCCCGTTCTCCAACTAAAACGGCCCATTTTGCTTGCTTATGTCATGTGTTAATTTTTCATCTGGAACGTCCCGTTCTCAAATCAGAATGGCCCGTTCCAGATGCACAATTAACACACAACAAGTGCAAGCAGAACAGGCCGTTCTGGTATATAGTTCTAATAGTATGAGTTTTTCCGACCTTTGTGACAATGCAGGCTACTTGAATTTATAGAGTGAATCAATGACGGTTAACTCACTCAAACGCTCGTGCACGTAGGCCATTATGAGATAACCGCTACCCACTATGCTCATTATGTGGCTTCTAAAGTGTAACTTCCCATAACCGTTCTTCGCGTATACTAACTTCTCGACTTGGACGCTAACT